AAAACCCAATAAAAAATGGGCAGAGGATATGAAAAGACATTTTTCCAAAGAAGATATACAGATGGCAAACAGGGACATGAAAAGATGTTCAGCATCACTAATTATTAGGGAAATCCAAATCAAAACTACAATGAGATATCACCTCACAACTGTCAGAATTGCTATTAATTAAAAAGACAAGAAATAACAAGTATTGGGGAGGATGTGGAAAAAAGGAACCCTTGTACACTGCTGCTGGGAATATAAATTGCTGCAGCCACTACGGAAAACAATATGGAGATTTCTCAGAAAATTAAAAATAGAAATACCATATGATCCAGCTATTCCACTTCTGGGTTTTAGCCAAAGAACACAGAAACACTAATTTGAAAAGATATATGCACCCCTATCTTCACTGCAGCATTATCCACAATAGCCAAGACTTGGAAGTAACCTAAGCGTCTATCAATGCATGAATGGATAAAGAAGATGTGGTATGTGTGTATATATATATATATACATGTATATATACACACACACAATGGAATACTAGTCAGCCATAAAAAAGATGAAATCCTGCCATTTGCAACAACATGGATGGACTTGCAGGATAGTATGCTAAGTGGAATAAATCATATGGAGAAAGACAATTTACCATATAACTTCATTTGTGGAAGATAAACAAACACATAGATAAGGAGAACAGATTGGTGTTTACTAGAGGGGAAGGGGCTGGGGGGGGAAGGGAGAAAGGGCTAAAGAAGCATGCATATGACACATGCATATGATGATGGATGGCGACTTGACTTCTGGTGGTGAACTTCTGCAGTCTATTCAGAAGTCGAAACATAATGATGTACACCTGAAATTTACATAATGTTATAAACCAATGTGAGCTCAATAAAAAAAAACTTTTTTTAAATGAGGAGGGGGCTGGCCCCGTGGCATAGCGGTTAAGTCCAGCCTTTCTGCTTTGGCGGCCCAGGGTTTGCAGGTTCAGATGCCGGGCATGAACCTACACCACTCATCAGCCATGCTGTGGCAGCAACCCACATACAAAACATAAGACTGGCAAAGATGTTAGCTCAGGGCTAATCTTCCTCAAGCAAAATAAAGAGGAAGATGGGCAACAGATGTTAGCTTAGGGCTCATCTTCCTCAGGCAAAAAAAGAGGGAAATGGGCAACAGATGTTAGCTCAGGGCTAATCTTCCTCGAGAAAAAAACAAGAGGAAGATTGGTGGCAGATGTTAGCTCAGGGCAAATCCTTCTCAGCACAAAAAAAAAAAGATGAATGAACATTTACATATCTTAAGCTAAATTGTTTAAAGTACGTATTTTTTTAAATGATTCCCCACTTTGAGTCTTCCTAGTAACTCAACAATTAGGCCTAAATTGTGTCAGGTAAGAGTTTCTCTACCATATTTGGTGGTAGCAAACCAAGGCAGAGCAGGAAAATAATTAAGCAGAAAGACTCACACGACTGTTTTTTTAAAGAAGTGTACATAACACGTCTTAGTAGCTCGGAGAGAGTGACCAGGGGCATATTTATAACGAGAAGGTATAAAAAAGAATCATCAAGTGAATGAACGACTTTGGAGGAACGCTTTTACTACTGAGAGATACTTTTCTTTTTCTGCTGGTTTGGAGAGTAACTAAATTTTACCATAACTTCTAAGACACCCATCATGTTTCCAAATGTTTTTTTTTTGTTTGTTTGTTTTTTGTGAGGAAGATCAGCGCTGAGCTAACATCCGTGCTAACGCTCCTCTTTTTGCTGAGGAAGACTGGCTCTGAGCTAATATCTATTGCCAATCCTCCTCCTTTTTTTTTTTTCCCCCCAAAGCCCCAGTAGATAGTTGTATGTCATAGTTGCACATCCTTCTAGTTGCTGCATGTGGGACGCAGCCTCAGCATGGCCGGAGAAGCGGTGCATCAGTGAGTGCCTGGGATCCGAACCTGGGCCGCCAGTAGCGGAGCGCACGCACTTAACCGCTAAGCCACAGGGGCTGGCCCTCCAAATGTGTTTTTTAATAATTTTTTTCCCCATAGCTTCTCTTTGAAGATATCAGAGAAACTTACATACATTTTTTAGGTAAAAGTAAGTGCTGGTTTAATTATCTCTTGCCCCCAAATCTCAACGTTGAGGTTGATACCGTTATTTCCTAAAGCCTAAGCAAACAAGATTACACGATGGTGTCAAGACTTAGGAGCAGACCAGTAAGGCTCTGAGGCACAATGTCTGCCACCAGTTTCCACTTTGAACCAATGGCTATCCTTCAAAGGACAAATCTATACATTCGCAAGTGGTTTCTCTAGAAAAGACAAGACGACATCTGGATGGTGATACTTTCCTTTTTCCCACTTTCAAATTCCTGCATTAGTCACTGGACCTTTTTTCCTAACTCTATAGCCTTATATTTTTCATCTGTAAGGGAAAGGTATTTGATAGCTCTGCTAGAGTCAAATATAAGACAAGAGCTTTAATATTCTAAATGAAAAATAAGTTATTTATGGCAAACAAATTAAATATATGTGATAGAACTCAAGCTGCGACTCCTAGGTCAACATTTTATTGCCAAGGGCAAAAGATCATCAAACGATTCACAAACAGTAGATTATTTAAGCAGGGAAAAGCAAATAGAGAAACAACATACACTACCAACAACAAAACGATCAAAGTGGAACAAAATTAAGTTGACTTTAAAATATAATCGATAACTCTTAAAAGATTCTCATAAAAGACAGCATTAGATTTACTATCATATTATCTTAGCTCTATTAAGAGAAGCTTCAGTGCTGATTTGTGAATCAAATTAAGACTCGCTTTGGGAGCTAAGTTAGTGCTTGTGGAAACAACAGAAATAAAGTGATTTTATTATCTCTTTAATATCAATAACTTCCAAGGATTCAAAACAGGGAGATATTAACAAAGCAAACATATGTGTAAGAATCAATATTACTGCTCTGAATATTAAGAGGTAAAATATGTGAAAAGTTTTGAACTTTAGCTCATAACAATGTTAATTATTATTAAAACTAGCAATAATACAATTAATATTATTGTAATTAATAGTATTAAAAGTAAATAAAGTTATCAATATAAATAGGTTTGGATTTGGTTACACTAAGAATTAACTTTCTTAATACAAACAGTTAAATGCTTAAAAATTTAACAGGGCCACCTTTGCCCGTGGTGTTGGGATGCTCAGCCGGACAGCGGCAGCTCATTTTGAGTTGGTCGCTCTGCCCCTGGCCCTGCCCACCCCAGACATCCCTGCTCTACAGTCAACGGAGCCGCACCTCCTGGGGTCACTGGGGGGTTAAGTCCAAAGAGGGGGAAAGGCCCTCAGCTCAGCGCTTGGCCCTGAGGAGGCCTTAGTGTTTTCCTGTCACTGTCCAGTGAAGACCCTCCCCACCCTGTTGCCTAGAAGCAGTGGGCCCAGCTCTGGGTAGGGCCTTCCTGAGTGCCCCTCACATCGGCCTCACAGGCATGGCTCGGCTCTGAAGTTAAAAACCAAAATAAAAAAACAACTGTGGGCACAACTAAAGCTACTGGCCAATTTTAAGTCAGGCAATACATACTTTACATCTTCCCTTTGGTAAACTCAGTTTTAAATTGATGTAATTTGACATAATAATTATGTATTATATAATAACTTAAGTATAATACCACATGTACTCAAAACTGTCATTTCACAGGGAAAAAAACTTACTTTAAAAAAACATGTTTTTGAAACCCCTTTCTGAAACTCTCTTATTAAAGAGCCTTTCATTACGTGTCAGAGAAAATTTTTTTCCTTCATGGGAGTACATATCTACTTTTATTACAAAAATCAATATAAAGATATTATTGCTTACATGTATTTTCTCAGAGGCCAACTTTTTATCCTACAAAGTGACTTTCATGTTGATTCTAAAGACTAAAATGTTTGTGGAATAGCATTCTTTAACTTGCTAGTTGAATTACTTTCACAATTCATAAATAAAATGAAGAATATGATGCAAAAGCAAATTTCAGTGTACTCTAACATTTAAACTGGATGAGATATAATGTTTATTTTTTCGCATCTCTCACATCAGCCATTAAATTAATGCTTCCTCACGGTAAAAGAAAATCTTTCAAGAATTCCATATAATTTATGGACTGAAAGCATCATGGATTCAACAAATATTTTCTGAGTACCTATGTACCAAGCCACTCACCCTTCTGTACACAGAACCTACCAAAGTACAACTATGACAAAGCACATTGAGAAATAAGAAACTAAAAAGAGAAAATGAATGTAAAATTAAAAAAAAAAACAATCACAACAAATATAACAAGAAGTCAATTTTATTTTGTCATCATCATCATCATCGTCATCATCAAGTAACAAATTAATCTGCGGTTAAGTACCCACATCACCTTAGGACATTCTGGCCTTTGCTTTCCAGCAGAGCCTACTTACTTAAAAATGTTTATTTTATTCAAAGGTCGTCCTGGAGACAGGAAAGACTGGTGATAGCTTTTGAAAAGTTTAAAAATCTATCATTCTTATTAATCGTAATTTAACTAGATTCCTCATACAAATCCTCTGCCAGTTAGAGCTTAAATTATGTACTCATGTCAAGTAGTTTAATAAAGAATTTGCCACTCTACCATCTCCAAACTCCAAATAACAAATATATTAATCTTAGAAACTTCTTGGTTCCCTGTTAGTGTACAGAGATTATGCAAAAAAAAACTCATGAATTCTTTGCTGAAAATCTGGCACTAAAAATTAAAATAATAATAACCCAAATTATCTTTTTCTGAGATGCTAAGAAAAAACATTTCTAACATTGAATTGCAGAGGATTTAGACAGGCTAGCACTGGAGCTGCTTTCCAGATGGGTTAGAAAATTTGCCCAACACACAAAGCCAATTAGGAATAAAATCCTGGCCTTGGGATTCGGAGACTGCAGTGCTCTGGGTATATCATCTGAAACAAGGCTGTGCCGTTCTAAAGTACGATATACACTTTCACAACAAGTTACTTACTTCAGCACTATCCTGAATAGAAGGGCTGTTGTTATAATGCTAAAATTTGAGAAGATAACAGCCATGGCCTAGAAAGACAAAGAAGATAGAGTTACAATCCAAACAAAGCACCGACCTCAGAAATCTCCCAGCTTGGCGGTTTATCTGACAAAAAAGGCTTTTTGGTCAAAAACCAGAGGGGTTATTAGGGCAGGTATTTCACTAGAGGATTAAATTCCATTTTTATTGCTTGTCAAATTTATGCAGATATGATCAAATCATTGTACAGGCTTTGAAAATGTGTTGAAATTCAGCAAATGCCTGTGTAAATAATCTATATGTGCAGATCTGCAAATATTTATAAACTCTAAAGGTTTAGGCTTAGAAATAATGGTTATTATGCTCATAAGACATACCTTTTGAAGCTCTCAAAGTGCTTTATAACCTTTTAATACTGCTTCTACGGGGAGAGAGAGAAGGCAGGTACTGCTAGGCCCACTTATATATGTAAGAAAATTGAGGTGTAGGCTTTTAAGCATCTTTACTGTTCTAGGAATCGAATTAACTTGCCTGGTTGAACTGTAGTGATTCAATAATGGTGATGCACTACTAAACTCTTATCTGACAGTTCTTTGGACTTAGTCACATTGTTCTAAACACTTAGAAATGTGTTAGCCAGATTTTATAAAGATTTGTTTTTGTGAATTCAGTCATATTTCACATGAGAGTATTAATACGAACATGTATATGTATGTTTTGGCCCAGAAAGTATGAAATTTTATCATCGTTCCTCATAATTGGATATGACATTAATAATTTTTAAAAACAAATCCTACTGATTTAGTTCCCCTGCCTTCCTCCTTGCTGTCACTTTAGGATGATTAAACCCTAAAGATCATCACCAGTCTTATATAACCAGCTAACATGGCTAATATGCAGCTGCACTAAAGAAATAAAGAGTAAATCCAATAAAAACTAGCAAAAATTCCAAGAACACAACATTGTTGTTTTTCTACTGCATTTTTATGGGAACCACTATTTTAAGGTTTTCTCAGTGTCTTCTCTGTAGACAAATGGTTGCGAACTCCTCGTCAGGAGAAGAGTAAGAGATGAGGAAAGTAAGTGGCCAGTAAGAGCGGGGAAGTGGTGGGTCTGATCAATCACAATAAGGGCAGTGCAAATACACCTAGCCAAGCGGCCTGGCTGGCCTGATGGAGTCTGAAAACTCTTTCCATGAAGAGTATAGAGTAAACAAAACATCAGAGCTCTCTGCCCCAAAACCTCCATGCATCTCTATTTAATTCTTTCCAACTAGACTTGGGCACAGCAATACACAGAAAACGCCATGTGATTTATTTTTTAATATCTGTGGTTGTACACAATCAGGAAAGAAGCGCAGAGCAATAAGCTGGAAGAAGAACAGGCAATTGCAGTCTTGCTTTGGTAGTGGGGAGGTAGAAAAGGGATACAAATTTAGAGATAATCTGTTGGATACAAACAAAATACAACAAATATATACTTAATGAATGTGAACAATTATGTCATTGGGTACAAGAATTCTCAGATCTGAAAAACAAAGTGGAAGCAAGAATTTAGGAGAGAACATATTTTCTTTTTTAATTGTTATTTTTTCTGGTGAGGAAGACTTGCCATGAGCTAACACCCATTGCCAATCTTCCTCTTTTTGCTGAGGAAGACTGGCCCTGAGCTAACATCTGTGCCAGTCTTCCTCTATGTTGTATGTGGGATGCCACCACAGCATGGCTTGATGAGCGGTGTGTAGGTCCGTACCCGGGATCAAACCTGCAAACCCCCGGCTGCTGAAGCAGACAGAGCGAACTTAACCACTACACCACCGGGCTGGCCCCAAGAGAGAACACATTTTAGATGGAATGAACACTTACTAATAACACGGATCATACAGCTGAAAGGAACTTCAGGTGATCACCTGGCTCAGGTCTCCACTTCCAGGATGGTATGGTAACACTATTCTATCTTACAGATGGGCAATTGACACCTCAAGCAGTTGGGGCTTGCCTAGTTACACAGCTTCTAAACTATACAAAAGATCAAACTCCTGTTTTCTACCATACTACTTTCCTGATCCTTCCTTTTCGTTCCATTCTCAAACTGATTTGGCTATATTTAAGCAGCTTCACATAGACTAGTACCAATAAAATACTATTTATAATCAAATGCCTGAATTTACTCTTTAAAGAAACTTAAAACACATTTTGGCAACAATGGCAATAGAAATCTTCATTTTATAAAATAATAGGGTGAAACATACACATGATCCAAACTAAGTAATAGGTAAAAGCAGAAGACCAAATTTTAATTCTGATTATTAATGGCTCTCTAAATTGGTAAGGAGGATGCCAAGAGAGATGAGAAATATTCTTAGTATTATCAGTTACAGATAATATTTATAGAGTTGAGAGGATATAATCTCTATCATTAAATAACTTGCTGGTTAAATGACAGGACTAACATAAAAAAAAGTCATACAAATAGAATACATATAAACTACACTAAAGTGGGTGTAAGAAAGAGTGGTGCACTGAGCTGTATAATTTTCTGAGTTAATCAGGGCAGTCTGCTTGGAGGTCCTGGATGTTGAGATTAATATTAGAGGTTGGTGACCATAGGATGGCTTAGAAAACAGGCAGACTGATCAAGGTTACACAAAGAGAGATGGCTCCAAATGCAGTGGCCAGGGAGTAACTCCTGCCAAACAGTCAGCATGGTTTAATAGAGTCATCTTTAAGTGAGAGAATCTGGCAAGCAGACTGGTAAGTCAGTATGCAGATGATCTGGTCAAACATCAGGAAGGCATGGGAGGGCAATGAGAAACTAATGATGCCAAGGAAAATGATTAAAAAAAAAAGAAAAGTTAGTTCTGAGATTCATTTCTCTGTGTTTTTCCAATGCTATTTTCTTTGTCATATTTACTTACAGGCTGAAGATAGGAAAGAACATAGAAGACAATCAAATTATCCAGGAAATAAAGAAAGGCAGGAACGGACCACTTCATGAAATTAGAGAACTCCTTCCAGGAAGCACATCTCAAGTTTCTACTTTGATGATCCTCTAAGGAAAGAAATATACCAATAAACAAATGATCTTGATGAGAATGGCCACATTTTTAGAGAAAGTAAATTGTATTTGATTTCTGACACAATTCTTTAAACAAGGCTTTATGAACTTGCTTCCATAAGTGATTATTAGCCTTAAGAAATCAAAGACGATACAGGATTTCATTACTGTCTTTCTTCAACCCACCACCATGCCTCATCCCTGACAATCAGCAAACACCTTAGGAATAGTGATTCTCCTAGTTCCCGTCAACTTGAGATAGAAGTGTCACTTAATTAAGGCAACTTAGGATACATTTAGTGTTTTTCTTACTACTTTGAGAACATAAAGCCAAGAGAGAGATCAACAAGCTAAAATAAGCAGGAAAAAAATCAAGCGTTCATGCTGGGATTTTTTTCCCCCACGAAAGGGAGATACTAGGTGAAAATTTATATATATGCTAGAGTAGAGAAAATGAACTTTTACTAATCCTAGTAAGAGTTAATACCCCATCTCTAGACTTCCAAAAACTTGGGAGGTACCATAACAGAGAGAATATAAAATAAAAGTGAAAAGATAGAAAACAATTTAAGTTTAAGCCCTATAAATAATGCATGAATCTCATGAGATTAAGAAATATATTCCACTTAACTAGAAACTTTGCATGGATTGAAACTCTTGAGTATGAAAAGACATCTTCTCGGGCAAACCCTTTAATACTCTAAATTCTATGTTTACCGCATGTGGGGAGGCAAGTCAAAGGAGTAGAGAAAGCTAAGGCTCAATAAACAGGAAACCAAGGTGGAGAATTAATACATACGAAGAGCCATGAAAGGCTAGATACCCCAGATGTGAGGAAGGATTAGTATCCCTATTTGATACCTGATGAAACTGGAGCTCAGAAAAGTTAAAATAATCTGCCCCAGAATTCAGTCTCTCCGTATTACAGTCTCCAATGTGTTATGCTGCCTCCCCTGAAGGAAATGGGGACTGTTCTGCAATATGCTACATATCAAGTCAGACAATAGTGGTTTAGAAAATCCCTGAATGTGAATAAAAACTAACTTGCTGTGTGACCCATCGCAGGAACAAGTCATGGGGTAGAGCAATGGACGAGATGCTAACAAACATGGGCTGGAGTCCCGGCTCTGTCCCCTCCCACCCAGCTCTGCAGAGCACTTTTTCTCTGAGCCTGTTTCTCCACCTACAGAACATGGGTAAACACTTTTGTTTGCATCTTAGCATCCTCACCTATAAAATTAATGGGCTAGACTAAATGATATAAAATGTTCCTTCCAGTTCTAACATTTTTTGATTCTGTGACTTTTAACAAGCACCATTCAACTTTTACATAGTACCATTTCAAGACTCACCTTTCTTTATAACCCAGAATGACACAAGCGCACAGAAAACTAGCTTCACCAGCTCTGAACACACATTGACGGTAGTTGGAAGATAATCATATTTGTTCTCTGAAATGTAACAGAAATGTTTACTATAAATTTTGTTCCATATAATGCTTATATACAGCCAGCCCTGGTGGTCTAGTGGTTAAGATCTGTTGCTCTCATCAACGTGGCCGAGGTTCATTTCCCGGTCAGGGAACCACACCACCCGTCTGTTGGCTGTCATACTATGGCGGCTGCGTGTTGCTGTGATACTGAAAGCTATGCCACCGCTATTTCAAAGACCAACAGGGTCACCCATGGTGGAAAGGTTTCAGTGGAACTTTCAGACTCAGACAGACCAGGAAGAAGGACCTGGCCACTCACTTCCAAAAAAATTGGCCAGAAAACCCTACGAATAGCAGCAAAGCATTGTCTGATATGGCACCAGAAGGTGAGAGGATGACACAAAAAGGCTGGGCAGGATTCCGCTCTGCTGTACACGGGGTAAAATCAACGTATACTCTGTCTGTGATATTCCTTTAACTCAGAGCTTTCCTATGTGTTTCATATCATGGGACACAGAAAATAATATGTTTGGCACTCTGGGCTAAATGGTACATCTGGGTAAAAGAAGGAAGCTACTTGAGGCAAGAGGCAACTGGCCCAGGGCTCTGGCTACCTCTAGGGCTGAGAGGAAATACTCTGACACATGCAAACCCACGGACGAGTTGGGAAGCTACATTCTAACTCACAAGTCAATCTAATCAGGAAGCGAGGTTTGGTGAGTACACCTTGGTCTTAGCTATTACCTGTCTTTCCTAAATGCTTACAAACAACTTACTCTATAATTTTGCAAGGACAAACATAAACTTTATTAGGTTCTATTCTGAGGAATGCATTTTTTCCTTCTTTTGAAAATATTTGCTTGTTTCCCTTGTCATCATATTAAAAACAAAAACTGGCCAAGTACATAGGAAAAACGCCAACTCAACATTCCTTCTACCCAAAATGCCCTTTCTTCCTCTTTTTTGTGGTTTCCCCTGACCTTCTCAACCTAAGCACAATCAATTCTTTATTCATCTCTGATCCTGTAGCACTACCTATAAGCCTCTCTAACAGTACTTGCGATATTGTATTAGTTATTTTTTACATGCTCAGAATGTAAGCTCCTTATGAGAAAGAGATCACATTAGTCATCTTCATATACCCAGCAGGTAACAGTGTTCTGCACTTAGTAGGCACTTAATAAACGTCCACCTGAATTTAATTATTTGCCTGTTAAACTTTCTCCACCACTTGAAGCCTAGTTAAAACCTCTCCTCCCTTTTCTGAGCTCAAACCTAGACTGAAATCACACTCTGTTAGCCTCCAATAATATTTTGCATTGATCTCTACCATGATACACACATGAGTCAACATGCACACACAAGAACAGGGTGGGGGACTTTGGACTACAACTCTGAAACTCTTGTCACTGCTCTTGAACTCATTCTTGCTTGTACTGTTTTTTTTCTTGTATTTCTCTCATGGTTGATCCCACACTGTGTCTCAAGACCACGTGGGACCTCCCTCCACTCGCCTTCTGCCCACATTCACATACCTTATCTACATTATATCCATCCTTACTGGCTCCCCTTTAGTCCCAAAGAAAGGGGCCATAGCCCCACTGTTCACCCATTCTCCCCTTTAAAGCCCTCCCTTCTCTTCAGGGACTTTGTTCCAATAAGCATGTCCTCTGGCTTCAGTATATCACCTTTATCTTTCGCTATATTACCTGGCTTCCTCTCCTTGGCCTATAAATATGCTCGAAACTCTCCCATCTGAAAAATCAAAGATAAGATCCTACCCCTCCAACTACCATACCTTCTCTTTCTCTCCTTAAAACAGTGTCAACATTCATTATCTCCATTTTACCCACTTTCCTTTCAGGTCTTGTCACCACGCAACCTGGTTTCTGCAACCAACACTGTACTCAAACCACCCACTCTCTAAGATTAACAAATATAGTCTAATTACTAATTCCAAAGAGCACGTTTTAATCCTTATCTTATAATGTTGCAATTCCCTCTCAGTCTTCAAACTCATTCCTTCCCTTCTACAAGTCACGTACATTTAGTTCCTTCATCTAACGATTCCTTCTTAAAGGCCTTCTGAGCGTCAGCTGCCTGTTAAATGTTGGCATTCCTCAGACTTCTGATCTTGGCTCATTTTCTCATTCTGCGTGCCTACCCTGAATTAGCCCTCTGTTCCTAGGGTTTTAAATGTCAATTTAACATTAACGTCTCCAAATCTGCATTCTGGAACATTTAATGCTCACTAAGCACACCCTTATGAATAACTACCTCCTATTTATTCATTTAAGTGGCATTTCCTTCTCATATGTGATGTGCTAGACACTGCAGGATACTGCAGTGAACAAGGACATTGCTCCTGGCCTCAAGGAAGGTACGTAGCTAAAACTGTGTAATCTCTCTGAACTCTAGCCAACCTGCTCTTCCTCCTAAGTCTCCATCTCACCTGAGAACATCATCAATCCACTTATCACTCCAAACTAGAAACCTTTGAACTATCCAGAATTTCACCTCCTTTTTAATCTCTACATTCAATATATTCTCCAAATCCTGTCTTTTCTATGTTTAGAATATTTCTTGAACCTATCCTTTCTTCTCTATTCCTACTTCCAGAGCCTTGGTTAGTCCTCATTCTCGGTGGCTTGAATTTGCAATAAGCCCCTAATTGGCTACCCTGCTTCCAGTCTCTTCCCCTTTATTCCATCATCCATCCAGCTACCATAACTGTCTTTCTCATTTTACCCTCCTGTTTATAATCCTTCAAGTATTCCTTATCCCCAGACTCTAGGGCCTAGAGAATAAAGTCCCAGGTCCTCAGCATGGCATATGATGTCCTTAACTCTCTGTATTACTTCCCTCTCTGGCCAAGCACTCCTTCCCCTCTCCTCCAAGCCCTTAAACTTTTTGCTCAGTAATTCTGAACTACATGGTCTCATAATCCACCCTGCTTTTTTACGCATCTGTTCATTTTTACAGGCTGTTGCCTCTGTTTTGAACAGCCTGCCCACCTTGTCTTCTAGTGGATCAACCGTCACCTTACCAGAGAAGTATTCCCTGATCCCTTTGCACTCCACATCATCCTCTCCCAGACGGAATATATCACTTTCTACACTAAACAATCTCTGCATCTTTGGTGTAGAACTGCATTTACTATACTGTTATTTTCATGATGTAGTTACATGTATGTCTCTCCTAATAAACTGTGAGTTCTTGAGAACAAAGTCTATGTCTTTTGCATTCTGAACCCTGCTACAAACACTCAGCCTAGTGCCTGGCAGAAAAATGTTAACTGAGGTAGAGATTTATGTATACATCTGACTCCCCAAGCCGACCATTAAGGGTCATGATGTTATCATTTTATGTGTCATCAATAACTAGTGAGAGGCTCTCAATACAGTTTTGTTGAATTAAACTGTTTGTTTAAATATAAATTCCTATATTACAAAAACAAGATTTCTTGAACATGTATTTATCAAAGCTAATAATCTATACTGTCTCATTGATACAGTAATTAAGACAGCACTTCACAAATGTCAGGTGATCAAACGAATATATCCTCCCGCTTATTTCAAAATAAATTATAATTATACATATTGTTATGGGCCCAGAAACACTGTTGTGTTGTTGTACTGTTGATTGAGGCAACAGTCAGATGTTACGATCTGTTCTGTAAAGGGTTTGATCCTATACTTGCCTGACCCAAATTTCACTCAGCATCAAAAATTTTTCTTGCTAAGGAATGAAAGCTTAAAGAATCAAATTTAAACATACTTGATCACTCACAATGAAGCAGGGTACTTAAAGGGTATTATCCCCATTATATACGCAAGGAAACCAAAAACAGGAAAAATAATGTGATTAGATGGAAATGCTCCATACATATTCCAAGTCTTAACTTACCTTCATTGGCTGAATATTTTACCAGGAGAATGCGACTTGAGCTTAAAGCAACAAATATGGTCCCTAGAAGGAACGTATACATTGTCGACAAGGAGCTTAACATGGGATGACCACAGCACTTGCTTTCCATTCCACTGTTGTTTAATTGCCTTTAAGAGAAGAACACGTTCATGAGCAACCCTGCTGGCAGACTGAGCATAACGCAAGTACCATTGATTTGTGAAGAACAGAAAAAGGAATTTTTTAGATGCCTGGCTATGGCTGTATCAGAACCAAGAAAGTTGAGAAGTACAAGAGAAACTACAGGGAAAGGAAATGAACAAGAGTCAAAATTTGATAGGAGCGGGAACTCCAGAGGCAGAAAAGGCAAAGGCCAGATTAGAAGTGCTGCGAAAGGCAGCAAGGGAGCCACTGACACTTTCAGACTGCACAATTCTGCAGAAAAGTGATTCTTGAACTTTCATTATTATTAGCAACTTTGCTCTAGAAGGAGAGAATTTCAGATCTGTATTTTTCTACTCAGTAGCAGCTTCTTTCCTAGGAGCAGGAAAAACAGCTTATTGGGAAAGATTTCCTTACAATAATGACCAAAATAGAAATATCTGCAACACTGCTGTTAATTTATACTGAACTAGCGTTAGAAGTATATGAGAACTTAGAAATCAATGACCGATCAAATCTAAGGCCCTCTTTTGATATGTTGAAGACACTACACAGTCCTCATACGAATATTTTACCAGTAAGATGCGACTTGAGCTTAACGCAATGAACATGGCCCCCAGCAGAAATGTAAATTATTCATAGTCTGGGCCGGGTAAGTAACCTGCCCAAAGCCTCCAGGCGTAGCAACAGCGCACAGAGCCTGGAGGATTGATGGGAGACGGGCTTCAAACGCCAACAACGACAGCCGAATTGGTCGCAAGCCTACGGAGGCCAAAGCCACACCTCCCTACAAGAAGTGGGAAGGTTTCCCTCCACCGGCAGGGAAAGCCTTGTCACACATGCGCAGTGGGGATCCCGACCGGCGCGCCCTCCCCTCGGACGCACGCGCACTTCTTTGCCCGCGGGGCACGGTTACCTCACTCCCGCCGTAGAGCTCCTAATGGAAGAGCGCGCATCTTAGAGCTGAGCTAGTAACCGTCTCGCTCCGCAGCAGCAGCAGCAGTAGCTTTTAGGGTCCATAGGCGGAGAAGCTATGGGAAAGAAAAAAAGCCTCTGTCCCTGACGCTCCTGTTCCGGAACAAAAACCACAATACAACCCGACTGGTAGAGAGCGGACCTGCTGCCCATTGCGCAGGCGCACTCAGTATTACGCTTCCGGAGGGAGGGGAGAAGCGGCGCGATCCCGCCCCTTCGCGGCCTTTCTCGCGTCACGTGTCGGGAGAGTCCTGTGTCACGTGAGGCCCAGGTGGCGGCCGAGCTACGGCGAGAGAGTGAGAGAAGGAAGGGGAAGCCGGAAGGGGCGCAAGTGAAGCGAGGGGTGAAGACAGCTCCCTAGAGGGCGAGGGGTGCGCGTGCGCCCGCGTCTCCCTCCAGCTCTGCCCTCGGCCTCGCCGCCCTCCCCAGCGGCCAGGTGACAGCGGGGCCCGGCCGCCGCGCGCTGCCGGGGGCGTGAGGAGCGCGCGCGGCGCCGGCCGCCCCTCCCCCTCGTCCCATCCGTCCCGTCGCGTCCCGTCCCCTCGAGTCCGCCGGCCGGGGGCCGGTAAGAGTCGGCGGCAGCGGGGGCATTTTCTGACTCCCGGTCCCTGTCCCGGCTGTCGTTCCCGCCCCCTCGCGGGGCCGGCCGCTGCTCCGGCCCCAGGATGCAGAATGTGATTAACACGGTGAAGGGAAAGGCACTGGAAGTGGCCGAGTACCTGACGCCGGTCCTCAAGGTAAGCCGGGCCGGGCTGGCCAGGGCTGTCAGGCGCACGCTCCCTCGGCGGGGACGAGGACCGGGCGCCGCGGGAGGCGCCGCTTCCTCCGGCGGGGGAAGGTGTAGGAAGGTGGTGAGGGTGGGGCGCAGCAAAGGTGCAGCCCCACCTGGGGTCTCACCCAGCTGTTGTCCGGGGCTTTCCGGCTCTTGGGGTAAACTTGGAGCGCCCTTACGCGAACTGCCGTCTCCATGCCTCGGAACTCAGCGCATCTGGGTGCGTCGGGTTGGAAGGGGGTCCGCAGCTAAGTGGATTTGAGAACGGTACCTCCTAATATCAGAAGTTTTTTGAACTTTTTAAACAAGGATTTTATCTTTAAAAAACAGTGAGATCAGTGTGCGGTACTAAAATGACATGTCACTTCTTTTTTTTCAAATTTCATAGTAAGTCTTTTGTAATTAGGAGTTTGAAATCGTAAGTTGTGACCGTGGTCCCAACTTGTCAGATTTCCGAGGAACGAGGGGAAACTTGAATCATCATCTATTTAGTACCATTGAACCCAGCTAACGGGCAAAACCTCCCTTTCCCAAGTCTTTAAAATAGCCCAAACTAGTTGTTAATGTTGGGCTCCCGTGACAATAAGGAGAAGCTTGACCCGCCTAGATGTGTTTTTTTTTTACATTGGCAATAATACAGCATTTTTAAAGTAAAAATTGTGACACATTAGCTGTTACAGCGATGACTGTTTTCTTATTTTCAAAGATGAATTTGTAGAAGTGCGTTCAAATGTTAATTTTATAACTCGTTTAGAGTAAATTGTTTGTGATTGTAACTTTATTTTTCCTTTCTGAAAAGTGAGCAATGATAGTAAGTGAATAGTGAGTTCTTGCTTAGTGTTTTTTTTAAAACAAACACTTTTTTTTAATTAAAATTTTTTTTAAAGCTTTCAATTAAAACTTTTAAAATCTTAGTGTGGGGATGAAATATCCTTGGAAATGGTCTGTCCTCTGTGTTCAAGAAGTTATTCTGGTATGCTAAGAAGAATAGCGGACAGGTTTGCTTTGCTCCCTTTCCATGACAAAGGGAAATGTTAATCCTGTACTTTTTAAATATTTATTTCTAAGACTGATTTTAAAATGATACCTTGTTGGGCCAAGTTAAAAAAGTCGGGAAAGTTTATAAATGAGAATTCCAACTCTAGCTATGCTTAAATTTGTTTACTGTGAAACCCATCTTAATTAAGATTATTCAGTCAACTTTGAAATTGAAAATAATTTTGACATTTGAATCAAATGATTCTTTTGCATATTATCTCATTTTTTCAGAAACACGTCTACCTAAATATACAGCGTTTAAATAATATACGATTGTTAGAACTTTCTTAGTTTCAGGGAGGGAGGAGCAAGAGAAAAAGACCTCCCAAGTTAAATATAAAACTATTTTATTGACCAGTTGTATTTTATTGAACTTATAAAATTATGTTTTGAGGGACCATTTTACTTGTTCACCAATTGAAAAGAAAGTGTTAGTTGTCTGTATTTGTCAGTATGTATTTTTAGTAATAGGGAAAGCAGAATTAATGACACTCTACTTGCCCCTTTCTGTGCAGACTGTTGGTTTACAGAGAGAATCCTTGTGGTTTTTTACCAGACATGGGCAAGGAAGGAGGAAAAACTAAGTACCTGGGAAAGAAAGAATGACTTCTCCCAACAAGTGAAAATTAAGAAAAATCATCGTTTGGAAGACATATGTACAGTAAAGCCCAAATCCTTACGATGATCTTCAAGCCTCTACTTGATTGGCAGAGGCCCCTTTCTCATCTACTACTCTACGTCTGGCTCACTTTTGCTTAAGACAGTCTGACCTCCTTGTTACTCCATCAAGCGCTCTCTTGCCTTGGGTTTTTGTATTTGCCCTTCTCTGCCTGAAATGCTATTCCCCCAGGCAGCCTTGTGGCTGGTTCCTTTCCTTAAGGTCTCTGCTCTAGTCACCTATTAAAGTCTTCATTCTCTTACTATCCTATTTTAAATACCCATCTCTCTCCCTCCATCCCTGACCAGTCTGCTCTCTGCCTCACTTTTCTTCATGGTGTTCATTACCATTTGGCTTTTCTCCTCCACCAGAGTTTTAAACTCTTCATGAGGAGAAGGATGAGTTTGGTCTATTTTATTCACTCCTGTCCCCATTACCTCAAATAATGCCTGGCACATACTAGTGATTTAGTAAATATTTGTTGAATGAATAATGTTCATAAATGAATCTACCACAAAATCTTACATATAACTTAAAATTTAGAAAAATTTGGTAAATAACATCCTTGCTTTAGAGAAGAGAATATTGTATCAATATCTTGTTGGAGATGAGAATAATGGGAAAATATTAAATGATTTATGACTTATAGATTTGGTTTCTAGTATTACTCGATTTAAATGAGATGTAGGCTGCATTGTAAGATGTCTAAACATCTTTAAGACAGTTTTACTGTTCTGTAAAATAAAGATATTTGGTTATTCCACAAAATTATTGTAAAGCTTAATGTTTGTATAAACTTTTGAGTGTTTTTCCAAAGAGCTTTACTACTAACCAAATTGTATTGGAATTATTTTCATGTCAGTTTCCTCCATTAGACTTGGATATTTCTTGAGGTCAGGTACAAGTGATAAAATCTTTTTTTGTATGTGGTCCATTGCCTAGAAGAGTGACAGGCAAATAGTTGCCCACAAACATTTTAAAATTGAAAGTTATTCTTTTTGCTCTCTTTAGGAATCAAAGTTTAAGGAAACAGGTGTTATCACCCCAGAAGAGGTGAGTGTTAAAGATACTCTGAAGCTATCATATTTTACAATTATAGTAAACAGAGTGGCTTTTTTGCTTTATAAGAAAACATCTTGAATTTTAATCTTGATTTCAGTAAAATTAGATTCTGTTGACTATGTTAGCAATTTTATAGGGATTTCTGCTTCCCATAGAAGAAGATGTAACTTCCTCTCAATCTGCCACTTCTCATATTTCTCTGTAGTTCCTCTTTATTTAGAAATGAGGGTGGGAGAGGGAGTGGAAAAGATGTCTATGGTCGTAAGATTTCACTCATTTGTGTTATATTGAGCTGCACAGTGGGCTCTATAGTGTTTGCTGTGTCTTGACTCTGTCTACACCCAACTTGAGTTTTCATGGCTTTCCGTTTGGAAACTTCAGCTCACTGCTTGGTTATTTCGTTTTCTCTCAGTATTCAGCTTAAATATTCTATTGCTGCATACTACTTAACACTGATGTTTTTCTCACCATTCTTTTACTTTTTCTGTTAACCAAGTAATGTTGAATCTGCTTAATGCTGAAAATAATGGCTATTTTGTAGGCCGGTGTGTTTTATTGAACTTTTAACATAGAGTTATGTTTTGAGAAATCATTTTACTTGTTCACCAAATCTGTATAGTGAAAGTGTTCTCCTTCTTTTAGGTAATTTATTGTGTTATCCTTAGAGAAATAAATACTAGTCTAAACATCCTTTTAGACTGCAGTTTTATGAATAGTTATGGTTGCATCAGACTTAATTTTTTAGTTTTAGTAAATGGCAAAGAATTTATTTAAGCTTCACTTTTAACTTGCATTAAAAACACCACTCACTGACAGTAGAACTTTACTCATTGTTTTGAAAGAAACGTTTTGAAATGAGCCATGTTGCATGATCTGGCTGTTGCTGTAAATTCTAAGACCTGAAGCCAGAGAATTAATTGATCTTTCTCTTTTCAATTGTGATGGATTCTCTTCAGTCCCAAATCCTTGTGAGCTTTAAGAATGGTGTACTGATCTTTTATCTAAAATTGTTTTTATTTTTAGTGAAGACACATGGTGGTGTCGATGCAGATAATCCATAATCAATCTATAAATCAAAATTTAGGTGAGTTTATTGTGAGTCAGATCTGAGGACTAGCCCAAGGCCTTGCTTCCCCAAGGAAGGAAGGGCACCAAAGAGGTGGGGTATACAGAGTGGTTATATACCGTCTCAGAACAAAGTGCGTGCATCACATGTGATAGCAGTGTCCCTTCTACAGTTGTCACGAGATGCTTAGTTGGCCCAGCAGGTTGGTGGTCAGCAGGTCAGTGGTTACAAGGTGAGCACAGCAGGTCAGTAATTAATCCTTAGTTTCTAGGAAGAGATGCTTATTCTTAAAGAAATACTGATATAGGGGGAAGCTACATCCCTATCTTTAGAGGCATCATTCCTGTCTTTGGGACAGAGTAAATGTTTAAAGCAGATGTACAGTGCATGCCCAACAGGCCACGTCAGGCCCTTTTGGAAAAACAAGGTCAGGCCTAACTTAGTTTTAAACCAAATGGCTTCCTCATATCCTCCAATATATCCTATTGCTTTTCATTTATTTATCAGTAGTATAGAAAGAACCTAAGAGACCTGCCTTCTAGACCCATTTCTTTAATTTCTTTTATTCTGACTTGGGCAAATCAATTAAGCTCTGTAGGCACAGGCCTTATGTTGCCTCATCTGTAAAATGAAGGGTTTTGGCTTGACATTCTCTAAAGGACCCATTCTACCTTAGGCATCATGAGTTTAATACCTTAAATGCCAAATAAAACTAAGTTTTGATCTTAAGGATATCATTAACATTCTTGCCAAACAAAGGTATAATGTAGACATGGCTCTTGAAACTAAGTATCTGAAATCAAGAGCCTAGATGAAAGTGTGCTGTTCTTCCTGCACTCTTTGGCTTTATCTCTATGTGAAGATGACTAATTGGTAAATAGATAGTTCGAGTTAGAGATGCAAGTCTGTGGTAGTTGGATAGAATTAAGCTAACTGTTTTAAAACAGCTGCTAATCCTAGAATGAATAACTGTTAGACTTAATTGTATCATGAAGTGGTGTATGAATTTTTCCCCTTTTTAAACAATGCAAGGCAGAACTGGCTCAGCTGGATACTAACCACATAATGCTGGATTGGGATAGAGCACAATTACGGGATTGAGTTAGATTAGAATGAGTCTAGAGGAGGAAAATAAGACATAATTTGCTTTGGATAAATACTATACTGAGTTCATCTGTTCATTTGTTTTATCTTATTTTTTCTGGGCTTCTGGCTGTCAGCCTCCAGCTATCTTTTTGTTTTCCTTAAGAGATGTGGAAGTCTTGTGTTTAAAAAGAGGGGCAGGCGTTATCTAATATAGTATTGTCTCACTAAAAATACTCTAATGTACAACGTGTGTGTGACTTAATTAAGTAGAGTACTAGGAATAGAGGGTAGCTTGAGGAATAAATTTGCTCACCAAAATATTAATATTGATTTTATCTTGGAGTTATTCAGTATTATATAATATTTAATGACTAAGAAAACTATTGCAAGCAATATTGAGAATTTAGAAATTTGAATCTGTCTTATTTTATTTCATTTGAACATATGAAGTGTGTCATAATGGCCATTGCTAATGAGGGCAAATCTATACTTGTGCTAATTATCAGTGCAATTCTATGTCCTTTTATAGTTTTCTTTCTAGTGTTTTTGTTATTTTTTTAATAGATGCCATCAGAGATGCCATGGAATAAAATATTAGAGTCTTGTGACCTTAACGCAATATGATTAAAGAATTTTTTTGTTTTTAATTCTTTGTTTTGCTTGCTTTTGTTAAATTAATACTCCTTTGGTGGTGATGAATTAGTTCCTGATACCCACAGAGTTCAGTGTAGCATCTGGTTGCAGTGACCCAAAATGCTTAAACCTTGGGAGAGAGACTGTTGTTTTCATTTGGGTTTTTGTCTTTACCTAACCGGTTTAAATAATAACAAGATTCTTTGAAGTAAAAGAACAGAAACATTTGTAAAGTTGCTCTTGGGAATATGCTGCTAAATCTTATGTTATTAATGTATCTTCTTAAAAGAAGTTACTCTCAGAATTCTTATTTTATAGAGTTTTACTCTCTCAAATTAGAGTGTTATATATAGACATACTTTTCTCAGAAAGACAGAAGATTAAAGATGTTGTGGTTTTTTGCTGTTGATAAACCCATGTTGGTGATTTGAAGTTGGTGCTGTTGTGAAATAGAAGTAATTGGGAAATAGAAGAGTGTGCGGACGTTGCTCGAGTTGGGACACTGCAGTTATGCTTACCAGACTTTCATTTTCTGCTCTCAAGAATAAGCAAGATTTCTGTCCTGCAGTAAGATCAGTTCATGTTCATGTATGATGGAAATTCTCAAAAGGTTAAACTATTTCGTCCTGAGTCTGTTTTTTATTTCTGAAGAAAAACAAAAACTTGTACAATGTTCAACCTGCCTAGAAAGTCCAAGGTTTGTTAGAGGATACGATTTCTTAGTTGTCTTTGTGTTTTCCGAATCAATCCAAAAGCTTCTTTCTCCCCATTCATTGTTTGGCACTACCTTTCTCACTTTCGTTAATAATTCCTGTAAGAGTGTGAAAAAGCTTTCACAATTGACTGTTACCTAAATTGAAAAGAAAAAAAAAAAAGAGGAAGAAAAAGTGTGCACTGTGATGTAATAAGCTATTCTTGCATCATAGACCTCTATCTATTTAGTAATTTTTTCAAAGATTTTCATTGTGTTTTCAGCCACTAGCAAGAATCTCACTACGTTTTATTTATCCATAAAATGTTTTTTGATAAATCCTGTAGTGTTACCTTTATTCATTTCATGATACTGTATACTTTTGGCATTACTTAATCCAATGATTAAAATTGAATTAAAAAATAAATAGCACTCAATATTTTTTCTTCCAAAATTAAATTGAATTTTTATGGATGTTAAGAATTTTGCAGTTTCAATGGTATTCAAAAATAAATCTTCCGGCTGGTAGAGCAAGTTTGGTGCTGTTTGCATTTTAATTGATTATTGGGTAAAAAGGTTACAGAGGATGATCACTTCGGTATTTTGCCACCTTACATTCAGTAATGTTCAGTGTTTCTTTTTCTTCTTTTTCATATTCTTTCTAAATCCTGAATAGTTTGTGGCAGCTGGAGATCACTTAGTCCACCACTGTCCAACATGGCAATGGTAAGTAATCTTGAGTGAAGAATAGAAAATTTGTAAAAGGGATGACTTCATAGTTATGGCATTTTGCAAAATAGGTTAGTGCATGAAAATTAGAATGACCAGTTTCACCCTCTTCTAGTAGATTTTTCTGTTAAACATTGCTCCAGTTGTACTCAAAGTAAAATAAAGGAAGAAAAATTGGGCAGTATACTTTTGTTTTGCTCTGTTAGCACAAAAGATGGACATTTTTGGGATAACTGCCTTTACTTCCTTTACTTGTATTCCCTTTCTTTATAGTGTCTAGGTCTGAGCTTGCGGTGGATCTTTAAAAAATAATGTGCAAGAGTTTAATAAGTTTGATCAGCTGATTTCTTCAAATTAAAAAGTATTTATTGAATATTTTTTATGACTAATAAATGCAGAGATTTTGCAGAGACTTAAGTTCTTTAACCATAATACCTTCTATTAAGGTTTAAAAATATGCTCCTTTTTTGAGAATTAGCTCAAAAGTTAAGGTTCATGATGCCAAATAAGGTCTTATTTGGAAATCTGCCCGTAACAGACTTGTTAATCTTTTATTTTCTTCATTAACTTTTCTTCTAATTATAAAAGTAATTTTAACAACTTAACAGTTCTCATATATTTTAAATAATCTGAATAATAACAATGTTTTAAAACAATTTTAGTTTCATTACCTTCAGGTACTTATGGTAAAACCACCTGGCAGTAGCTAAAAAAATGATCCCAGTACTGGCAAAACTATTTTAAGTAGGCTAGAATCATTTCAAATTATCATCTTGTTTGGATATAAGTGGTTCAGCTTGTTATAGCCTTTCTTTTTTTCCTCAGTGACACTTTTTCAATTGTAGTTGGAAAGGGCAGTTTTGATTTGGGAGCAGGTGTTCTGGAATTAACAAAGTTCTAATTGATGTTTTTTTAAATATCTAAAGAGCTTAAATAATTAAACTATTTTAAACCAGAGTTGGAACTCACTTTCACCTGTGGCCTATTCTATTCCCCTTAATTTTTATATTTAACACATATCCAAAATAGTTCTCACTGCTTTTTATCAATTGCTCTTTATCTTTTAGAGCGTTGTTTTTTATATACCAAGAAAGGCCATAATGTCAGGTTCATTTATTTTTATGTCATTGTCTATCCTACATGTATTTCTGTTCCATATTTAAAATTGAATTCATATCATAGAAGCTCTCTGATTTTTTTTCTCTATCTTAGATTGTTAAAATTATATTTACTAGGTTCTGGTCTATTATTTATATATATTTCAAGTAAAATCGGTATATAAAGTTTAAAATATTTATTTTGAAAAAGAGCTAATTTAGGATTTTCTTCACTATGATAGAATACACATTTTGGTTATTCAGATTTTTGTGTCATAGTCCTTAACTGTCTACTTAGTTTAGACATGATTTATAGTATTGTTATAGGGGTTTATATATATGGACAGGATCTTTTTTTAGCAGGTGGTAGTTTATAGTTCCACTTTATGAATTGTGATGGTTGAAATAATTTTTTTTTTTGAGGAAGATTGGCCCTGCACTAACAACTGTTGCCAATCTTCCTCTTTTTCTTTTTTCTCCCCAAAGCCCTAGTACATAGTTGTGTATCATATTTGTAGAGTTGTAGCTCTTCTGTGTGGGACACCACCTCAGCATGGCCTGATGAGCAGTGAGTAGGTCCACGCCCGGGATCCGAACCAGTGAACCCTGGGCCACCGAAGCTGAACGTTCAAATTTAACTACTATGCCACCAGGCTGGTCCCATGAAATAATTCTTTATTGTAACTTAGAACTCAATTATACCCCATTCCAGTGTCCACACTTCTGGCTGAACTGCTAGGGGAAGGAACAATTCATTTTAAATTATGGCTTGAAACAGATTATTTCCATGCTGTACTTTAATGTCTACTAGTGCTATCATGACCTTATTGTATCATCTGCCCTCAGAAGATGCCATGACGTTGTTGAATTTGACACTTGGAAATGGTCTAAACAAGCCTAGAAGGCTACCAAATGATATTAGGGTATTTCCTGGGTTTATCTTCTGCTCACGTCTATGGTTTGAGCTTTAGACTGAAGCTTGACAAGGCAGCAGAACTCCAAATGTATGCTCATATGTGTGTGACAGACACCATATGCCACCACAGCTCTGACCAATTCCAGTAGGTGACCCACAGAAGAATCTTTGAACAATTTCTTAGAGAGATATTTCAGAGTAGCTCCGAAAAATCGGAGATGTCATGGCTGCTTCTGACCCGCAGAGGGAGTAGTGTTTAAGAGCAGGAGCTCTGGAGACGCTGGGCTTGATCCTGGCTCTTCCACCTTCTGGCTTTGTGATCATGGGCAACCCGACTCCTTAAACTTTTGTTTACTTACCCATAAAGTGAGGATATTAATCTTACTCACTTCTTAGGTTTCTGAGGATTATATGAAAATAATGCATGTTCAAGTTCTAAGTCCTATACTTGATAAGTACTCAAAAGTTTTTTTTGTTTTCAGTCGTTATTATTCTCAACATTATCATCTTGTGATTAAAAGCATCTTTTACCTCTTAGTTCCAATTTTAATACAGTAGTCGGAACAGGGACCTTGTCAACCACTTCTTGTTATATACTGTCGTGCGGCTATTTTTCTGCCTCTTAGTCTCAAGATGAGCTGTACTTTAGGATTAAAGGTCTGAATGAGGTGGTACTCACTAAGGAACAGCATTTTCTTTTTGTTTAGAGGCAAACATAATAGTTGCTTAGTAGTTCTGCATTATTCTACCTTTTTGGTCTAATATTTAATCCGAATTCTGTTCGATCTGTTTGCATTTCTTAGTACATTTCACTTAAAATATGGCTGTGCTCTGCCATGCCCTGACATATATCGCTTAATGGTACTCTTCCCAAACCAGTCCTAAAACAGTTTTCTCAGGGGTGTGGATTGTGTGGTTTTGAGATTTACATGTGATATCTTCTGTTCTGTCTTTGCCTTTTAAAATATTTTTTGCATTTTGGTGCTTTTCACTCTTTTTAAAGGGCTACAGGGGAAGAATTGAAAGTGAAGGCATACCTACCAACAGGCAAACAATTTTTGGTTACCAAAAATGGTAAGAATTATGTTGCATATATTAGTAAATTTTGCACAAACATTTATATTTTTTAAAAAAATCTTAGCACTTAGCAATCACACTTTGTGCTTAAAGCTGTACTCACAGCTTCTCTCAGACAGAAATTTGGAAATTAAGTGAAGCTCTGGGTTTTCTATTGCTAGAGTATTTTTTTCCTTATTTGGTTTTTATCTCCTTCCTTTTTTTTATTTCTTTTTGCCAAAAGTCTAGTTTTAAGATGTGGAGGAAAAGGGCCCTAAGCAAAGTTGGACCTCTTCTGATTAGATATTTTTAAGTTGACATCATAATCATAATCTTCTTAGCTATTTGATTTTAATCTTTAGACTTAAATTTTTCTTGGAAAGTGAAATTGATACTACCTTTGACATCTAAAAGCTCAAAGCTTAAAGATTTTATTATTCATTGTGTCATTGAAAGATTGCCTGTAGGCACAAAAAATGTTTTTGAAACAGGTAGTATCTTATTTAGGAAGTTAATTTGAAAACAACGTCAAAAGGTTGTTATAGTCCCTATCTAATCACATAACAATACATTGATTTCTGCTCACATTTACCCATTATAGGAAACGGAAAATTCGTACAAAACAGCGGGGTTTTTTTTCCTACAGCATGTGTTCCATTAGGATTGATCATTTATATCTTGCTTGTTTTAAAGAAATAGAGAGACTAATAGTAATTTGTTGACCCTGCATCATAATGTTTTTACCTTATAATTGTTTGATTTTAGGCTTATATGAATAATAATACCTGTTAATTGGTACCTTTGCTGTATGAAAAACTTGGCACCAATGTTGTATGAGAGAGTAAAATTTAGTCTAGTGAATTTTACACTAGTTTATCCATTATGAATAGCTGGAACTTAAATATGAGTTATGAAATTCATATTGAAAGTTACTTTAGTATTGCCAACCAGAGGTCACCTCTACCACCTCTGAGTATGACAGGTGGTGCCTCCATGTTCTGAGAGTAAAGCCGTTAAAATAAGGTATTATTATTCATTAGCCTGAAGTTGAAGAGTGTCATCTCTGGCTTCAGACGGCTGTTCTTCACAGACCATCACTGTAAAGAATACATAGAACACTCCTAGTAGAGCCTTTGTATTTGTCTTCCGACAAAGCTATTTGGGGAAAGATAAATGTGGTCAAATAATTATATGTCTGTGGGCTGAATGTAAGTCTTAAATTAATCACTTTCATTAGAAGTGAAGTACATACAGTTCCTATTTTGGTGGTGGAAGTATATTTTATGGAATAAACCTTCTCTTTTTCTAATGGATTTACAGGAAGCAGATTATGTGCTAGTAACTGAACTTCGCATTTTTTTATAGTGCCATGCTATAAGCGGTGCAAACAGATGGAATATTCCGATGAATTGGAAGCTATCATTGAAGAAGATGATGGTGATGGGGGATGGGTAGATACTTATCATAATGCAGGTAAGAGGAGAATAGAATGGCATATATTTGGTTTAAATTGTTTTAAACTCTTTTACAATCTTTTAAAACCGCCTTGATTTATTTATTTATTTATTTTTTTTTTTTTAAGATTTTATTTATTCATTTTTTCCCCCCAAAGCCCCAGTAGATAGTTGTATGTCATAGGTTCACATCCTTCTAGTTGCTGCACGTGGGACTCGGCCTCGCGTTGGACGGAGAAGTGGCGCCTTGGGGCTTGCCCGGGATCCGAACCCGGGCCGCCAGCATCAGAGCGCGCTCACTTAACCGCTAAGCCACGGAGCCGGCCCTAAAACCGCCTTGATTTAAAAAAAAAAAAAAAAAAAGGATACATAAGGCAGTTTTGTCCTAGTAGACTTTAAACTGAAAAGAGGCAGGAGGACAAATGGGAAACAAAGAGAAAAATGCCCTTGGAGTACACCACATTTCTATAGTACTGCTTCTTCAGTAGCAATTTGAAAATATCCCTGTTATTTTCTTTATTTCTAAAGAAAGAAAGAAAGCCAATTAGAAATACTGAGTATGCGTACTGCTTTGCTTTATAATCTGTTATTTACATGTCATTCTATTGCTGGATAATGAGCTTTAGGACAGGAACCATGTTGTACTCATATTTTACTTAGACCTGGCGTTTAAAAATATTTAATAATTATTTGTTGAATGACTACTAAAAGGATTGTAAAGACTGTAGGCTCCATGAAGGTAGAGATTCATTGTTGAATCCTCAGTATCTATCAAAGTGTCTGATATAGAGGTTGTTCAATAAATTTTTGTTAAAGGAATTGACTAAATTTAAGCCTTTCATAAGTGTATGTTTGCATAAGTTGTTTGGAACTCTGAATAAGATTTTTTATTCCAAGTCCTAAAAACCTGTTTTGCCACTATATTTATGTAACTATGTAAATGCCTGGTATTATATGCTGCTATAGCTAACTACCATTTATGACTTAGTTTTAATGAAGAAAATATGTTCGGGCTTTAAGTCTAGGATACTAAAAAACAAGTTTTCTCCCTCTAAGTCCTAGAGAGTAGGAGGTATATCAAAAGTAGAAGTAGAGCAGGGTTTCTCAGCCTTAGCACTATTAACATTTTGGGCTGGATGATTCTTTATCATAGCATTTCCTCTGCATTGCAGAATGTTTAGCTGTATCTCTGGGCTCCACCCACTAGATGCCAGTAGCATTCCCCCGGTTTGACAACCAAAAATGCCTCCAGACGTTGCCAGATATTCTACAAGGGGCAAAAGTGCTGCCCTCAGTTGAGACCCACTGCAACAGAGGGCTGAGTAATCTGCACAGGAAAAAGCATGTTGTTCATCTGTTTCTGCTCTACTCTGAGTAAGGGACACTGCCATCTGTTTTCTTCTGGTGATGTAGGCATAGATTCAGGACTTGGGCTCCTTGATTTGAAACTCATTTGTTTCTTAATGAATTGAGTGTTGTTTTGTCAAGGCCTAGAGAAAATAGCAGACTGAACAATTTTTAAAATAATTTCAAAAAGCATCGTTTTTTCCCTCCACTGGGTAGTGCTGTTAGACTTCTTTTTTTCCTGATTTTTCCAGAATCTTTCAGCTGCTCTGCTTTAGTTTTCCTGTGATTGGAAGGTGTGGGTAGCACATCTGTTGGAAGTTGTCTTTTGACTGACCAGTGCCATTGGTTATTGCAGTGTGTTTCTGATGTCACGTTAATGAGTTACTCTGTTGTCTAGTTGTGTTCTGTTCCAGTAATCACTATCCCAAAATCCAGCTGCTTATTTATAAGTAGGTGTCAGTATGATGAGATTGACAAAAATCTGTTACAGAAATGCGACAACTAAAAAAAATGTTTGCCCTACTGACAGAGCACAAGTAATATCATCTTCATATATGGAAAACCACACAGTATTATACTGCGGTTAATTTGATGTACATAATATATTCTAACTAATGTTTGAGAGATACCCTTAGAATTTTAGGTTTAAACTATATCCCAATGGGATTAAGGGTTAAAGCAGTGCTTCCAACTGACTCACAAGGCCTGGTGCCTGGTTCTTCTTCACCTCAGTTCCCCTTGTTTCATCCCTGCTTCTCTTCTCTTGGGTTTCTTTTATTTCTGTTAGCCCTTGTATTAGTCATGGTTCTCTAGAGAAACAATAGAATGTGGGTATAGATATAGGTACAGCTATAGATAGGTTTATTTTGAGGAATTGGCTTACGTGATTGTGGGAGCTAGCAAGTCTCAAATTGATAGGGCTGGCTGGCAGCAAGCCAGAGACTCAGGGAAGGGTTGATGCTGCAGCTCAAGTCTGGGGCAGAATTCCTTCTCCTTCCAGAGGACCTCAGTCTTTTCCTTTTCAGGCCTTCCATCTCGTTGAATGAGGCCCCCCCACATCATGGAGGGTAATCTGCTTTACTCAGAGTCTGCTAATTTAAATTTTAATCACATCTGAAAAATATCTTCACAGCAGCATCTAGACTGGTATTTCACCAATATCTAGACACAATAACCTAGCCAAGTTGACACAGAATTAACCATTATAGCCCTTGTGAGTATTACCCTCATTAGAGTCGTTTGAGCTTTCTTTTTCTTTGCCAGTAAGTCCTAGTTTTAGAAGAGTAGGTTAATGGGATACTGCTACTTTATTATATTTAGACCGAAAAGGTTTATTTTGTTTCTATGTACTGGATTCAGTGAATTGTTTTGTAATACCAATTCAATATGTTAATATTTGAGTTTTACTATTATGAAATAATAATACCTATTATATAGTAATTTCTAGAAAAACTACTGTGAGGTAAAAGCTTTATGCTAGAGCTGTGGATTGTTGACATTTTCCATTTGTGAAAGTGAGTCATTCTTTGATTTGAACTTGTTGAACAGATATATCGAAGTTTAGAAGATTAACAAAGGAGCCAAGCACATTTTGTGTTTAGAGTTTTTTTTATATTATTATTTCCCATCCTTGTTGACCTAATTGAGAACATTGACAAGTATTTTGAATTGGAATGTTATTTAGCTGACTTGTGGTGCTGCCATCTGCTTAGTGCCACCTTCAGAGACACGTAGGTTCCGAGGTAGTTGCTTAAAGAGGTGCAGTGGAAGAGCGTTGAAGCCAAAGTCAGCACGTGTGGATTTGAATCCCCGTCTCTTCACTTAACAGGCTGTGAGACTCAAGCAAGTTAATTTACCTCTTGGAGACTTTATTTCTCCAGCAGGAGAAATTGTTACCTAACGACCTCACAGGATAGTGTTTGTAAAGATTCAATAAGATGTGGAAACAGAAGAATAGAAAGTCTCACATACTAAACGTGATATGGTGTTACTACCTCTGGATGTCCTAGTTTTCTGAAGCAAATAGCATATTTAATATAACCAGTACCTTGTTGAGAAAATTGTGATGCAGATTTAAATAAAATGTAAATACGACTCCTGTAGTCTCTTAATCTATTCACTTTCTGGGAGTGAATATGTATTTTGATAGACTCATACAAAGAAAAATAGATAAAGGAAAAATAAATAAAGGAAAGTACATGAGGAATGATAGAGTATGATAGTTCATGGTGAAAATTAAATTGGTATTTTTAAATTTTATTTTTGAGAGGTGCCTTTGAGATTATTCCTATTCGAGTTCATTTGTAAAAATGCTGCTAACATTGCCTCCTCATTTCAGAGAACTTTTGAGAATTTAGGTAATTTTGAGTGTTTTTATATTACTTGACTCAGGTAAATGAGAGATATTTACAACTTAATTTTAGTTATTCTTTTCTGTTGAATTTTACACAGGTATTGCAGGAGTAACTGAAGCAGTTAAGGAGATTACCCTGGAAAGCAAGGTACTGGTTAATTATATTTCTAAATTCAGTGACCTAGTTATTTGCCCATATATATATATCTATATTTTAAAATTATTCCTATTATTCCTATGCAAACTCTGATTATTTCTTATCAAGCTCTTTTAAATTCCAGTTATTTTTTTCCCTTTCATTTTCTTACATCAATATACCAAAACACTCCTGTTTCCCAGTGCTTCTCTTATTTTCCTTAATATGTCAAATGGTTAAGAAAAACATTTTTTTGGCTTGTAACTGGTTAAAAACTACTGATTTTCACTAATTGGGAAGACTTCTAAGCTAGTTTAAAAGGAATGGCTTTTTAGTTTTAAGTACCAAATGTTCTGTAAGTGGAGGTTTTTGAAGGGGTTTATTTACTTGCTCATTAGTAGATGCTAATGATATATTGTTTAAATTTTGTAGTTTAAACATTGTCTGAAGGAGTTTTACTGCTAATTTGAGTGGGTTTTTTGCTTTTGAAAATTTAAAGGTAAATTTTAGTTTAATTTTTTTTTTTTTTTTTTTTGGTGAGGGAGATCAGCCCTGAGCTAACATCCATGCCAGTCCTCCTCTTTTTTTTTTTTTTTTTTTGTTGCTGAGGAAGACTGGCCCTGAGCTAACATCTGTGCCTATCTTCCTCCACTTTATGTGGGACGCCGCCACAGCATGGCCTGACAAACAGAGCATCAGTGCGCGCCCGGGATCCGAACCCGGGCCGCTAGCAGTGGAGCGCACGCACTTAACCTCTACGCCATGGGGCCGGCCCCTAAACTTTAGTTTATATCATCCAAAATCATGACATTTTGAATGAGTGGAAGCTAAATCAGTTAGGTTTTGTATGATTTATTTTAGGGGGAGGGTAAAAATACATAATTGGGTAGAATTTTTCTGCTTGTAAGTTTTCAGTTAATTCAGGCTATCTATATTATATTAGTTTTTCATTTCTAAAGAGAATGATTGGAATTGTCTTCATATTTTTTATAGTTTGAAATGGTATGAAAAAATAATACAAAATGCTTTTACCCTTCTCTTTTCTTAATTCTTTTGTTAACAGTCAAGTCTCCTAGAGGGTAGAATCTTTGGACAGGGTAATTGTGTTCCTCTTGTCCTTATGCAGCATTCAACTACAACATTACTAGTTTAAGATATTCTCTGTTTTTGTCATTTGGATCTTTTGGGATTTGCAACTGAGGTTTAACAGAAGGTGTTAGAAACTAAAACAAGTTGCGTTTTTTTTGGTGCACGATTTTATGCTTGCTAGGGATTAAGGTGCACTTCATTGGCCTGAGAATTTATCTTTTTGAAATTCTACTTTTTGGAGAGTTTGAATGACTAAGGAGAAATTGTAAAATGGCTTTGCTGCTTCAGAAGATCTTGTTTAGTCCAGCCGTTAGTGTACATGCTTCAGACTTTAAATGGCAGTGTAGTGTGGGTAGCATTGTTTTGATAAGTTTATGGTAATTCTTGCAAGAATTTTTAATAAATGTAATAATGGTTAATATAGTACTTAGTATCCCACTTAAATCCTTATATACTACTAAGGGATGGATACTTAGAATAATTTACAACTAGAATATATCTTTTTCCTGTCATTTCCTATTTAATGTACAATTTACGTTATTTTTTATAATTTACTGCTTAGAATATTTGCCATCCAGACCCAAGTATTAGTCTGTTGTTGATTTCTACTGTACTCTACTGTATTAAATATGAACATCACCAGTGTGATTATAATTTCCCTTAATGATCAGTTTGTCAGATATTGGCTTGTCTAATAATTACTTAGAGACTTACAATCTTTCTTCTATGGTTTCACATTTTTGGTGTAATAGTGATACATATGATTTATTTATAGTGATAAATAAAATCATCCCTAAGTAAAATTATAAATTAGGTGAAACTAGATGTCTAATTCTTTTACTTACTTCATTGACTTCAGATTTTTAGAATATTAATTTTGTGAAAATGCTAATAGTATATTAGTCTTATCTTTGGTTAGCATTATTCTTCCATTCTAGTGCTAATGTAGTTAAGAAACTGAACTGAAATCTTGTGTTGTAATAACTGTAATTGCTTAATTCAGCCAGGATATTACTAACAAATTAGGATATAATAGTTTGATTAATAATAATAAATTTAACTTATGTGAGTATTGTGATTTATAAATATAACCTTTTTTCTCCTTTAAATTATATATGCAAGTTAACTTTGAATTGATTTTCTAATACTAATGAATTGGTTAACTAAAAATAGTGTTTTATTGGAAATGCAACTGGCAACTTTTTAAATGATTAGCTTAGATTGCTCTTGGTGCTTCAGTGATACCTTTTGTATTTCTCAGTCACAGCACTTAGCACATCGCTTTTAATGATTGGTTTAAGGGTTTGTCATCTCCACTGGAGGAGGAGTTTCTTTAGGATAAGAAGAATCTCATCACTCTTATTTTCACAGTGGTTGGCACTGTGCTGGCATGTGGGTACTCAGTACTTGAACTAATAAACATATTTACTTGACTTTAAATATAATTAACTTCAAAGGACAGTATGAAACTCCAAGATTGCTCAGCATTATGTGAGGAGGAAGAAGAGGAAGATGAAGGAGAAGCTGCAGATATGGAAGGTATTTGTGTCCTAGATTTGTTTTAATCACACTAGAATATTGATTTTGGAATATTTGTGATTTATGTAGATTAAGACTTCTACTCCATTGAGTTCTAAATTTTAACATTTAACAGCCTAGAGAGGATTTTGTTTAATTTAAATTTGATCAGTGTAGAACTTACCTTGAATTTTGGACTCTTTTACTTTACCTAGAGCATAACCTTGACAGCATTATTTCTACTGGGATAAATATTAGTCATAGTCTTTAATGCTGGGTACAGCTGTAAGATAGAGACTCTTAAGCTAATTCTTAAACTCTTTCAGAGCAGAACAAAGTTTTCTCATGCATTTTGTATTTTCTTTTTCCTTTCTGATAACATCTTACTATGAAAACTTTACAATAGTGATTCTTAATGGGGCCTTTTGAACTACACAGATTCCCTTCACTGTTCCCTGAGATTCTGACATGCCTTCCTAGAGTTGCCAGCTGAGAATCACTGCATTAGTGGATCACTGTTAGAAGAGATTGAAACCCACTGTACTAACAGAACAGAGTCATACAGGTCTAAAAGTATATGGCTCTTCAAAGCTTCATATTTCATTAGCATGATAATCTTTAATGCACACGAAACCTCAGATTTTTAAAAATAGATGAAGAAATTGCTGTCACCAGGGCAACCTCTCTGTTAAATCCAATCTGTTGGATTTTAAGAGAGAGTTTAAGTATGAATATATGTATGTAAATAGAGTTAGCAGATGGAAAAAGGAATAGAATATGAAAAAAAGAGGGCAGGCATTTTGGAGGCTGAATCCCCAAAATATGTAGAATTTATGTTGAGATAGAGATGTTTTGTAGCATGCAGAGGTAGAAGATGGTGCCAAGTAGAGTTGGAGCACCATAATGGCCAGTGGTGTTTGCTGATGAGGAAGTGACAGCATAGCCTGATTGCCAGAGTAGTCTTGACTTAAAAGTACCTTTCGGTTTTGTTTTCTGAATTACTTTTTAGTCCCCATGAAACCTAGCTATATATCTGTTTTCGAATTCTAGTCAGTCTTACCCTTATTTCCATGGTAAACTCTCATTCTTTGAGGAAATCTAAGTGAGTTACTTGTAACCACAGTTGCTCACGGCAATCTCACATACCATCTCTATGCTCAAGGCTTCCATGTCTAAACCTCCAGCCCACATCTCTTTCAGATCAACTTGTTTAATTTCATGTCCACTTGGATGTCTCATAGTTGTCAGAACCACCTTCTGAGTTACAGAGAGAATTGCTGTATATGGGATTTTGCTTAGAAAACACTGGTGATGGTATCTAATATCACAGTTAATTTTCATTCATTATTCAACAAATATTTACTGAGCAATAAGTATCTATGTATCAGATAGTTATTTTTGGTGCTAGAGATAAAGCAGTAGACATGATCTCATGGAGCTTATATTCTGTTTAGGGGAGACAGAAAAAAAAGAGTAGGCTTGGGCTCAAGTGGTCACATTGGAAGTGATGAGAAACAGTAGAATTCTGGACATATTTTGAGGATGGGGGTGCAAAGGATTTGCTGCTGGATTGGATGTGGCATGAGAAAGACAGAGTAGTCAAATGTGACTCCAAGGTTTTTGACTTGAGCATATGGAAAGATGTCATTAACTTGGGGAAAATTGTAGGACGGAATGGCTTTGGAGGGGGAGTCAAGAGCTCAGTTTTGAGCTATCATAAATAGCTCAGTGATATTTATGATGCCCCTTTGTCATTCATGGGAGCCATAAATAAACAGTTAGGTATCCAGGTCTGCAGTCAGGGAGTAAATTTGAGAGTTCTCAGCATTTAAAGCCATTGAGACTAGATGAAATCAGCAAGGGACTAAGTGTGAATAGAGAAGAGACAAGGTCTAAAAACTGAGCCCTTGGTTACTGCAGGGTTTTGTTTTTTTTTTTTTTTTTTAAAAAAAAAAGGTCCAGATGATGAAGAGGAACCAGCATAGGAGAAGCTAGTGAGATGGGAGGAAAGCCAGGAAAATATAGTGTCTTAAAAGCCAAGGAAAGACAGTGTTTGAAGGAGGAGAGAATAAATCATGCCAGGTGTTCCTGAGAGGTCAATTAAGATGAAAACTGGAATTCGCCACTGGATTCAGCAAAGCGGAAGTGACTGATGACTTTAATGAGCACGTTTTATGTGATTATATAAACGGCCTTGTGTACGCTATGAAGTCACTCACTCTACAGTATTATTATGCCATTAAGTATTATTAATAGACTGTAGCACAGACCAAGCGTTAAGCATGCTGGCTTTCTCTGGCTCTGTCAGGTAAAGTGTCTGCTGCTGGAGGTATAGAATTAGCTCACTCGTATTTATTCAATATCAGTTAGAAACAAAAGCAAAAACCCAGTGTTTGAATGATACTCTGAAGTACTATACATTTGGTTTAGGAAATTGTTTCGAACTTGATTAATCTTTGTTGCTTTTTATAACAGAATATGAAGAGAGTGGATTGTTGGAAACAGATGAGGTTTGTAAATCGAGTTTCTTTAGTTGATTTTTAATGAGTAAACTTTGGGATGAGTGTTCTTATTAATAATATCTTGATCTTTCAAATAAGTTTTTATTTATATATGTACATTTTAGCTTTGAGTTTTAAGTTATATCCGCTTGTGAAAAAAATATATAGGGTGGGAAAAATAGATTTTCTAAAATGTCACATTTATACTGATTTTAATGGTTATAAATTTATCTCCATTATTGCCAGGCTACCCTAGACACAAGGAAAATAGTAGAATCTTGTAAAGCTAATAAAACTGATGCTGGAGGTGAAGATGCTATTTTGCAAACCAGAACTTACGACCTTTACATCACTTATGATAAATATTACCAGACGCCACGACTATGGTTATTTGGCTATGATGAGGTAAAAATAAAGAAAAACTTATTTTAATGTAAATTTTTTTAAATTGTTGGGTTTAATTCCTTTGTCATTAGGTCCATGAGTATATATTGTGGCCTTGTAAATTTTAGAAATCGTTTGTTTTACAATTTTATGATTAATATTGAACTTGATTCTTGTTTTGAAGAAACTATGAATTTATTCACTGTGACAACAACACTACTAAGAATTAAACAGAAATAGTCTGTTACATATTTATTGCTTTGTCCCTGAGCTTACCCCTTCAAAATGTGTGGGAAATTGAGCTTGGTGTGTTGTGTTAAATTGTGTTTGGGATTACATCTATTGCATATATAGGCATTTATAGAATGATCGTGTCACATGTGTTGTTTTCCTTAAGGCAGAAAACTTTATTTTACTCATCCAGTTAGTTCAATTAAAGGATAACTGAAATAAGACTAACTTGTGTAACCTGTCTTTCCAAAAGCTATAAATGGGAAAAAGGAAAATAAAACAAAATAGGCCTAAAAGATGAGTTATAAAGTTGTAAAATGTTTTGATAGCCATGAGCCTGACTTTTTGTGGGATCTTTATTGCATGAGGTGGTGGCTGATGTCACAAAGCCTTGTTGGACAGATTCCTTCCTTCCTTCCTTGGTATAAATTTTCCCCCAAATAATATGATAATTAATAGTCTAGAATTCTAAATTGCAAGTGATGTGGGAGATGGGGATAAATACATTATAAACATTTGAAATCTAGGCCTTAAAGTTTTTAAACAGTAATTTCAAAGTCTTTTTCATTGTTTCAGCAACGGCAGCCTTTAACAGTTGAGCACATGTATGAAGACATCAGTCAAGATCATGTGAAGAAAACAGTGACCATTGAAAATCACCCTCACCTCCCACCACCTCCTATGTGTTCCGTTCACCCATGCAGGTAGGTGTGTGTGTGCATGTGGATGTGGATGTGTGTATACTTCATGAATTTATTGCTTGGGAATCTATAAACCTAGTGCCCTAACAGAAAAAATTTACTTAATAAGCAAATAAAATTCTCTTTTATCTTCCTTAGAAATCTTCTTGTGCTTAGTTAAATATGTAAGAAAAAGGAAAAAACTTCACCAATTTGTTTCATTCATTAAGAATATTTTTTGTTCTCTGTATATGTTTGGTTATAGTATAGATCTTTGTGATTTTATTCCTGTTTTTAGCTCTAAGAATAGTTTGGAAGATCTATTTTAGATTAAAAAATACTCATCATTTACACATGGTTTGCTCCATTGTGATGTATCTTTCTGTGAATTTGGAGTATGAGGTTAACTTGGTGCTTTTTCTAGGTGACGTATTTCTCACCTTTTATTGGTTAGTAAAGGGAAACATATGCAGAGTTTCTATTCTCCTTTACTCTTCGGTTAAGAGGTTTTCAGCCCTATCAAACCAAGTGCATTTCATAATTTGAGATTTTGTTTGTATCAGTGTGTTTTCACAGGGCCAAATAAGTGGAGCTGAGTCTGTATATATGATATGTTAAGAATTTTCCTGAAAAAAAAAAGCTGTTCATGCTGATTTCTTTCATTTAGTTATTTCTAATGGGTAACTTTCACAAATCATTGAGAAATTCTGGTAATGGCATTTTTCAGATGAAAACTCTGGTATTCCATTGACTAATTAGATGCAACATTGTAGTTTAAAAAAAAATCCTTTAATATTTTCTTCTCATTTTTTACAGTCTCTTTATTCCCACACTTTATCCCGTAAAAAGCCTATTCATTTTTCCAGTTTATTTACATCAAGAACTGTTAATATTGTGAACTGTGAAAAGTAATTCATTAGTTTCAGTTTTGAATTAGCTAATCTAAAAGGTTTTCATTTTCGAGAGTTATTTTCTTGGTTCCTCTTATGGTGTAAGGTTTTAGGACATACTTATCAAACTGAGGCATGTCTCTTTAAGGTGTCAGTTTTACTCAGGAAAAGAGATAAGTGATTTAACTGGTAATTAATGTTAAACATTTTAATAAATGATTGTATTATGTAATATAATGTAAATATGGCAAAAAAGCTAGGGGCCTATAAAATGAGACTTCAGGACTTGCTGTGGGCCACCTCAGCTTATGCCTCATATCCTTAGGGCCAGTGCATTTACTGTCATCCTCTAAGTTGACTGCCTCTGTCGTGAAGGTTATAGTCATAAAAATTGAGGCGGCATTATTTATTTAAGCCAAGGTTTGTATAAAAGATCATTCATTTCTGAATCAATGAATGATCAACAGATCATTCATTTCTTTTTGTACGTTGCCGTTTTCTCAGTTTATGTGCCCAGACAATTACTTTGATGTCACTCTTTTCTGTAGCACAGGAGAGACACCAGTTGGCCATGAAGAGATCTGTGGATAGGACAAAAACTTCAGATAAATATCTTTCTTTATATAAAGCCAAAAAAATATTTCTGAATAGAATCAGATAAATTTTACAAAAGGCGTTAGGACAAAGAAAAAATATATAAACTGGGGCCCACTCGGTGGCATACTGGTTAAGTTCACACGCTCAGCTTTGGCGGCCCGGGATTTGCAGGTTCAAATCCTGGGCACGGACTGATGCACCACTCATCAAGCCATGCTGTGGTGGCATCCCATTTACAAAATAGAGGAAGATGGGCACAGATGTTAGCTCAGAGCCAATCTTCCTCAGCAAAAAGAGGAGGATTAGCAACAGATTTTAGCTCAGGGCCAATCTTCCTCACCAAAAAAAAAAAAAAAAAAAAGAAAAAAAATATATAAACTTATTGACTGACCACTTAGCTTTTCTTTAGCTCAGTTTTGGCTTATTCTCAGCTAAATATTTAAACAGTCAAAATCACAACATTATCTATCTCTTTGTTTTCTTGACCAACCATTACCATGTAGCTTTTTTGAATTTGCCTGGTCTGATTCATTTTTGTTTCTCAGAGCAGACAGCCCTTGCTCTGTAATTGTACCCTGGCATGATTTCCCTTTCTCTTTTGTTCTGCCCTCTGCCTCCATTGTAGGAAAGCTAACTAGTGCCATTGTGTTCATTTGTGACTACCATAGCTTTTTAAAATTACCCTGTCCTCCAATAAAACTGTCTATGTGACTCAACAGTCTGTCCCGTTGGGGAGTAAGGAGGAGAATGTTTACAGTGTAACTATTGTATGTTAAAATTAATTCACTGACAGTAATAAGGTAGATTTCTTCACAAACAAAAACTTGCTTTTCCTGTTTTGATCTAATTGATCTATACTAATAAGATCTGTTCTTTTGCCTTTAGGCATGCTGAGGTGATGAAGAAAATCATTGAGACCGTTGCAGAAGGAGGGGGAGAACTTGGTGTTCATATGTATCCTTACCCATACATGTGATTAGTGGCAAATTGGCTCCTAGGATTTTTTTTTCTTTCCTTTTTGGGAAATTTAGTGTAACCTTGATGGCACAGTACCTATAACTTGTTTTAGCCCCTCATATCTGGAAATCTGAGTGGAAGCCTTTAGGAAATGTTATATTATGATAGCTCTGCCTTGTTCAGTTGACTGGCGCATGTTCCTTTTTGCGCCAGTTGGCTCTGCCTTGTTGCATAGCCTCAGATCAAGATGTACTTCTAGGCAGCAGCTTGCCAAATGCTTGTGTTTGTCGAAGAGGAAATGGCTAAGAGAATGTGAGTTCAAAACCATGGCTCTTGATGGAAAAGAAACTCAGTCGGTTTAATTTATTGGTGAAAGATGAGTAACATACTAGTTTAGAGGATAAAACATGAGTATCTTTTCCTTAAGTATATTTCCAATTTAACATGTTACCAAAAATGTGCTTTCCCATCAGGTAAAAGTAAAGTTAGGTTGTCTCAGTCTGAGGTCTCTCTGAAGTAAAGAATTCAACTTAAATGAATAGGTTAATTAAAAAATAAAGCACATGAAGTATATTTCAGATATTCTTAAAATCCCACTCATTTAAACATGGACAACCTTGTCCTTATTTTTATATCAGAATATTGAGCTTATATGAACTTGTACTGATTAATAAGTTTCCTCTTCAAATATTAAATGGAAATGGATCAGGCAGTCTTAAAGTTACAGAGAGCCTCATGTTGAATAGACACAAACTTGCATGAGTGAACTTTTCAATATACTTGATTTAAGGTTTTGTCTTATATATTTTTTCTGAGAAATTATTTCTTAGTAAAATGGATAATTACAATGTTAGCTTAAATCATGAACTATTTACCAATTTATTTTCCTTAGCTAAAGACCTTTAGGTATCTTCTAATTTTCTTGAAATTTGTACAAGCTGTCATTCCAACAATAGAATATGACTACACAAGACACTTCACAATGTAACAAAGGGAGCATAGAATCTATCCTAATAATTGGTTCTGGTTTTTAAAGAATTAACCCATAGATGTGACCATTGACCATATTCACCAATATGTACAATTTCTCTAATAAAAGGACTTACATGTTTATGCATTAAATAAAAAAAGTTCCACTACCAGCCTTATTTGTTTAATAAAAATGAGTGTAAAGAGACTCTTTTTCTTGCTTCTTGTCAAAAGGTGATAAGAGTATTTTCCTTAAATAACTGTTTAAGTGAACAAGTCTCTCATAGAGTGATGATGGGTGGTTTGGGTTCACGTTTATGAGGAAGGTACTTAAATGTGTAATAGTGTGAGAACCAAGACTAGACAATCCTATGTGCCAGACTGCCTTCCATCTTTCTCTTCCTCTTTGTTCCTTTTATTTTCCCTCTTACCCGTCCCCAAGTCTCCTTTCTGTGAATAGGAGTATTTATGAAGCACTTACTGTGTGCCAGGAAATATGCTAAGTGCTATTACTTATCTTGTTTCCTGATTGTTTTGTTAAGGTGATACCACCAAAATTATTTTATTAAGGACTCAGGAATATTTCTCCTATTGTGATAGCCTGGTAGAATTTAAAGGGATCCTTTTGTTGTATCACATCACTTTAAAGATCTGCGTATAGGAGTGCAGAAAGGCTAAGTCTCTTCTATTCTGGGACACACACTGAGAGCCAAGGAGTAGAACCTAGGCCCTTTGAAGACTCCTTTTACCTTCTCCTTGTGCTCCTCATCTGTGTTCTTCCCATTCTGCACGTAATGGAGTGGCTAACCCCGCCTCTAAGGAACCTTAGTTTTTTGTTTCTTTTTTCCTCATCATTCAACAATATTCTTTCTACCTTCAATGCCCCTTTATTTTTCTCCTTTTTCCAATTGTAGTCCAATTCTTGTATTGCAAGGAGATCTCCATAATGAAGGTAATGACAAGATAGAGTTAAGGGTGTTTGATATGGTATAATATGGAGATATAAACATGGGCATCATCTTCTAATATACTTCAGATATCCTGCTTGCTCATGTAGCCGGCAAGCTACTCTCCTTTCTTAATCTTCCAAACTGACTTTACTGAAATATTGTATTTTTGAATACCTTTAATCTAAATCATATCCAATATTAGAAATTATCACATTGTCAACATTTTTCTCCCAGTTAAGTCTTATTTATCGAAAGTACAGATTAGCCTCAAAACGTTGTTTCGTCAGCAGTCATATTTATCTCAGTCACTGCTAGGTGGCATAAATAATTTTGTTGGTCAAACCTTTTTAGTTTCAGATCTTTTTTCCAATTGAAATCTTTATATGGATCCCTAATAACATAAAACAAAAGTGGATGTGTTAATAGTATATATGTTTTTGTGAGTTCAGATTCATAGCGCTCATAGAGAAAAATGGATTGTTTTGGTGAACAGTGAAGTTTTGATGAACTTGAAATTCAGATTATGGGTGACAACGTTTCAAGCCTTTGCATCCAGTTTGTTATATTAGCCTCATGGTATTTGTAAATGTCTGATTTGCGTAAGTAGTAGCAAATGGTAATAGTTTTTTATTTTTTTAACTTTTTATTTCAAAATAGTTTTAGATTTACAGAAGAATTACAAGTCCTGTATACCCTTCACCCTGCTTCCTCTAGTGTTAATATCTTACATAACTGTTACGGAACCCAAACACAGCATCCTTTACCTGCTGCAAAAGAGGGGCAATAACTGAAATGCCAGGCTTGGGGCAAGGAAAGAGGTTTATTATCAAAAGACAGCCAGATGAGGAGCAAGGAGATAAAACACATCCACGTCTCGAAGGGAAAAAGGTAGGGGTTTTTATCTGGGGTTTTAGGTAAGGGATGGGGGAGCACGTGGCTGTGCTGGTTGGTGCCTTTCCACCAGCCTGTGTTTGGCCTTGAAGACTGAGTTTTTTTTCCCTTGACTGTCTGGACTTCTCTGGTTAGTTTTCATCTTCAGCCTATGTTCGGCCTTGTGAGGCTGAATCTTGATGTCTGGAGCTTGACTTCCTGGGAAAGACAGCTCACTCGTATACTAAGGAGGGACAGAAAGACCTGGTTAGTTTTAAACAACAGTTGATTATGCTGAGTCTGTGCAACTGCAGTTAGCAAAGTTTATCTCAAGGTTTTTCCTCTTCTAGCTCAGGAAAGCCTTTTAACTTCTTCATTTCATGTATCGTAATCATGATACATTTATGAAAACTAACAAATCAACCTTGATAGAATACTATTAACTACAGGTTTTCTTCACATTGCGACAGTTTTTCCACTTAATGTCTTTTTTCTGTTCCAGAATCCAGTTCAGGATACTACGTTGCGTTTAGTTGTCATGTCTTAGTCTCTTCCCATCTGTGACAGTTTCTTTATCTTTCATGACCTGGATACTTCTGAAGAGTAATTGATCAGGAATTTTGTGCAGTGTCTCTCAGTTTGCGTTTGTCTGATGTTTTCTCATTATTAGATTGAGGTTGTGAATTTGGGGAAGAATACCACAGAGGTGATGTGCTCTTCTGTTTGCATTATGTCAGGAAGCAGTTGGTTAAGGTGGTGTCTGCTAGGTTTCTCTGAAGTTGTTCCTTTCCATTGTTGGAAGTGTCGCTAAATATATAGCCTCAAGGGGAGAGGAATTAAGCTTTGCTTCCTAGAGATAGGAGTATCACAGAATATGTAGTCATGTAAAACCACTATAGTGATTAGTAAATTTGGGGGGACATACTTTGAGGTTAAGTGAATATCCACTTTCTCTTTAAAGTTTCATCCAGTAATTTTGGTATTCATCAATGGATCTTGCCTGCAACACTTACTCTGGTGTTCTAATGCTGTGTCTATTCTTTTGCTTCTTCCACACTGCCATGATTACTGTAGTAAGCCTTGATGATTCCTCCAACTTTGTTCCTTTGCAGAATTGTTTTGGCTATTCCAGTTTCTTTGCCTTTCCATGTGAATTTTAGAATCCATCTTGTCTATATCTATAAAAAGGGGTGCTGGGATTTTGATTGGAAGTGCTTTGAGTATATAAATAAGGGAGAATTCGCATCTTAAAAATATTGAGGCTTCAGGCCGGCCCCATGGCTTAGCGGTTAAGTGCGTGTGCTCTGCTACTGGCGGCCTGGGTTCGGATCCTGGGCGCGCACCAACGCACTGCTTCTCTGGCCATGCTGAGGCCGTGTCCCACATACGGCAACTAGAAGGATGTGCAACTATGACAT